CCATGCTGGCTGGGGAATTCTGGGAGTTGAAGTCCACACATCTTAAAGCGGCCAAGGTTGAGAAACACTGGTCGAGTCATTGTGGATGAAATAATAATTTTCTTTGTGACTGGGCTGAGTCTGCACATGAGTTGACTCGATGGTGTGACTATTTAGGACTTCAGGTTTCTTACTTTAAAAATCAGCATCTCTGCTAAAAAGTTGAAATCAACTTTTGATCAGATCTGCTCCAGTGCTAATTTATCAAGAGTCACTTGATTGTGAGATGGGCGGCTCTATAAATATGACAAATAAGTAAAGTAAATAACGTTTTATGGGAGACAAACCAGGATGTCCCTGGATCCTGCCCTGGGCTCTGGTTACGGGACTGAGTTTATAGTCAGCTCCCGTGTGGGAGGCTGGTCTTGCTTCATGGCCAAGCAACGCTCAGCCTTGTTGTAATGTCCCAAGTGTCTTGTGGAAATTGTGGTGTCCCTGTGCTCCCCTTTATCCTCTGCCACCGAAAGCAAGCTTCACCCTTGGGGCACACGGTGCAATGGCTTTGACAGGTGGACCACGAGAGCTTCAAGCGCTCTGAGAGTCAATGGGTGACAAGTAAGGGCTCCAGCGTTCTACAGTACAGGTAGTCCTTACTTAATGACCACAGCAGGGACCAGAAAATTGGCTGTAAGCGGGGCAGTTGTTAAGCAAATCACCATGGTCGTTAAGTGAATCACTTGTTCATTAAGCGAATCCAGCTTCCGCCATTGACTTTGCTTGTCTGAAGCCCCCTGGGAAGGTCGCAAATAATGATCACATGACCCCCAGACACTGCAACAGTGTAAGCTGATTGCAGAGCATCCGGATCACGTTCATATGACTGTGGGGATGCTGGCATAGTCATAACTTCGAGCACTGGTCATAAGTCACTTTTTTATCACCATTGTAACTTCGAATGGTCACTACATTAATGGTTGTTAAGTGAGGACTACCTGTATAGGAAGCCCCTAATAGAAAAATAGAACTACTAATTTTTCAGAGATGAAAACCCCCAGTAACACATGGGTTGTTGTTCTTTTTAGGTTCACACTTTACTGGGGAAAATGGAACGCCTTTGCGGCATTCCCATCCATGGCAACATATGGGCAACTTTGGGGCATCACCTGGAAGCCATTTACACAACCCAGACCAGGCGCAAAGAGGAGATTGTTAATGCTGGTAATCCCCAGAGGCCAGGGACGTCGTGTGCCACCAATGAAAAAGGCAAGTGCTTTGGGTTTGGTTACTGTACTGTCGAGCGCGGCATTTTTGCATTAGAGCTGCTGCTTAAAATCATTGTTGCTCCACAGATGCCGATCATAGCCCCTTGAACATGTCGAGCCCCATGCTGGTTGGGGAATTCTGGGAGTTAAAGACCACACCAACGCTACTACGGAACATAGGATATAGGGAATTGTAATAGTATATGTTATACAGCAGTGTTTCTCAACCTCGGCAACTTTAAGAGGTGTGGGTGTGCTGGCTGGGAATTCTGGAAGTTGAAGTTCACACCTCTTAAAGTTGCCGAGGTTGAGAAACACTGGTATAGGGGAAACACTGTAATATAGTAAAGAGCAGTGTTTCTCAGCCTCGGCAACTTTAACATACGTGGGCTTCAACTCTCAGAATCCCCCCCCCCCGAAACTGGCTTGGAGGATTTCGGGGGTTGAAGTCCAGCCAAGGTGGCTGGGGGGTTCT